TACTGATCATCCAGGACTTCTCAAAGTCTTAAAAAGATTGGTTAAAAACATATTTCAAAAGAACTGTTGTCAGGCACAAGCCACTTGAAAAGCTGTTCAGCAGTAATAATGGGCAAATTACAGTGTTATTTAATATCCATCTGGCCTCCAGGACAACCAGTCTGGCCTCCAGGACTGCCAGTATGTCCACAGTAAGAGAGATAAGATACTGATTTATGGGAGTACAAAGAGTGCATCAAAAGATGAGAATTTTTCACTATCTCGTACATGTATCTTATGTATCTTTGGGGTTTGCATGTTTATCAAAATAATCCTATTTCCAATTCACTTGTCTTGATGGGTAATCTGAGTCCTGTAATAAAATAAATGATGCTAAAAAATTAGTGAAAAAACACCATGATATATTCTCTCCCTAGCATGTGGCCTTCTATGATGGAGTGACTACACCTGTGAACAAGGGAAGGGTCACCTGGACTCCTGTAAAGTCTTTGACACAGTCTCCTACAACATCCTTCTCTCTAAATTGTAGAGATATGAGCTCAATAAGTGGACTGTTAAATGAATAAGGAATTGGTCAGATGGTTACTTCCAGAGGATAGTGGTCAATGGCTCAGAGTCCCAACAGACATCAATGACAAATGGTGTCCCTCAGAGGTCTGTGTTGGGATTGGTGTCATTTAGTATCTCCATTAATGATATAGATGAAGGGATGAAGTAGATGATATAGATGAAGTGCACCATCAGTAAATTTGTAGATGACATGAAGTTAGTGGTACTGTTGATGCACCTGAAGGACGGAATGCCATCCAGAGGGACCTGAACAGGCTTGAGAAGTGATCCCATGAGAATCTCATGAAGTTCAACAAGGCCAAGTGCAAGGTGCTGCATTTGGTTTGGAGCAATCAAACAGCCTGGGTGATGAACGAGTCAAGAGTAGCCCTCCTAAGAAGGGCTTGGGGGTGCTGGCAGATGAGAGGCTGCACATGGCTCAGCAATGTGCAGTCACAGCCCAGAAAGCCAACCATGTGCTGGGCTACATCAGCAGTAGCATGGCCAGCAGGGTGAGGGAGGTGATTCTGCAACTCTAATACACTGGAGTGATGCATTCAGCACTGGAGTCCCCAGCCATCAAACTGTTGGAGCAAGTCCAAAGGAGGGCCAAAAAGTAGATTAGAGGGATGGAGCAATTCTCCTGTAAGGACAGGCTGAGAGAACATGGTTTGTTCAGCCTGGAAAAGAGAAGGCTTTGGGGTGACCTAAGTGCAGCTTTCCAGAACAAGAAAGATGGAGAAGGACATTTTACAAGAGGATGTAGTGACAGGACATGGGGGAATGGCTTCAAGCTGAAAGAGAGTAGGTTTAGATTAGATATTATGAAAAAAATTCTTTACTGTGAGGGTGGTGAGGCACTGGAAGAGGTTGCCCAGAAAAGCTAAGAGTGCTCCAACCCTGGAAATGTTTAAAGCAAAGTTGTATGGAGCTCTGAGCAACCTGGTCTAGAGGAAGGCATCCCTGCCCATGGCAGGGAGTTGAAACTAGGTGACCTTTAATGTCCCTTCCAACACAAACCATTCTGTGATCCTATGCAGACTTTGTACTGCTCTGATTTTCTTAGGGAAAAAAAAGAACCAAAAAGTTCTCAAGTCTGTCTTTATGGTCTGTGTCTACCTGGAAGTCCTTAAAAAAGCCTAAGATTGGCATTGAACTGTCTTTTTATATAAATATACATTTTATTATTTATTTATATTTCACATGTTTTCACAGTTTACTAACTGGCTTGTGGTACAACTTTAAAGTGAGACCACTGTTGGCACATTTCTGGATTCTTGTGCTCAATTCTCTGGTTATATTGGTACCATGACAAGATTCGCTGTTGGATATAAACTATATACTTACTAACAGACTTTGTGATTTTATAGCAGAAACTTTTGGCTATCTAAAGTGTATGAGCATTAACAAGGGCAGTGAAATGAGTATACCAGAAGCAAATACAGTAGCACAGCATTTAAACTCAACCCTTTCCCTCATATTGGTGCAAAACCCAAACAGAAAAAATGCACATACAGGGATGCAGTTCCCGAAAGCAGACCCTCAGATGTAGGTTGAGACATCTTTCCCTGAGTGTTTACCAATTTGCAACAGCTGAAGTTGTGGTCCATGAGTTTCATTTTTTTGTACCTTCTAATTCAAAAATCATAGAATCATAGATCAGTCAAGATTGGCAGAGACTTTTAAGATCATCCAGTCCAACCCTCAACCCAGCACCACCACTGTAACCCCTAAACCACTAAGCCATATTACCCACTGCCAGATCCAGACACCTGTTAAACACTTTCAGGATGGTGCCTATGCATTCAACAAATGATGGAGACACTCCTTGACTCTCCTTTTGCTGCCAAGGTACTTGTAGAAACTATTTTGTTGTCTTTAACTGTAGCAGCCAAATCAAATTCTAGTTGGGCTTTGGCCGTTCTAATCTTCTCTATACATGACCTCATGACATCCTTGCAGTCCTCCGAAGTTATCTGATCCTCCTTCCAGAAATGACAGGTTCTTTTTTTTTGCCTAAATTCAAGCCTAAGTTCTCTATTTAACCAGTCTAGTCTTTCACCCGACAACTTGTCTTCCTACACATGGGGAGGAAGCCAACTCCTGAATATTTAACAAACCTGCTCCTGAATATTTAAAAATTCCTTTTTAAAGCATATCCAGCCTTCCTGGACTCCTTTTCCCCTCAGGACTGACTCCTAAGGGACTCTGTCAATGAAATCTTTTCAATAGTTTAGCCCCCTCTCTAAATCTCAAGCGTCTAAGTAATGATTGGTGGTCATTATCATCTGATGACTCTTCAGGTAATTTTGTGCTGACCTGAGTATGCGGTGACAAGAAGAAATGTGCACAAGTTATCGTCTCCCATAGAAAATATAAAACAACAGCACTCACAAACCACATAAACCAGTGGAAGGAAAATTAATAGATCAAGAAAACTCTCCTGATGGAGAATATTTGTCTTGAACTGAGAAAAAGTCTGGATTCCAGGCACACTTATACTCTCAGACCACTATGTCCCCAGCCTAACATGTCTATTGCTTAAGGCCTAGGAAAGTGGTGATGTTATTTCTGCATAATATGTTTCCATCCCTCTCCTTGTCTTCTGCCTCACTTTTTTTGTATCTCCAGAACTGTAAAGATCTGACCATGATATCTTAAGTGAGGTTAGAGTCCGACCATATCAGTACAGCTCAACTTCAAACCACAGAAGGACACTCTGCAACAAAGCAGTAGCCTCATCTAGTCACAGTTCTTCAGAGAATAATTATGGGCTGTTTGAAATACATCTTTTTAGACAGAGGGATCTAAATTAGAAATCAGAGCTGATCTAAATTGCCAGTGCAGCTCTATTAAGAATCCTATTTTCACAATGAGCTCTCAGCCATGTTTCAACAGAAGGCATTTCTGCAGAGTAACTAGTTCTGCATCTGTGTTCTAAAGTTATTGTTTGATCATACATTTTCAGAACAGAATAATGAAGGAAAAGATTTACCATTTTGCAAAGCAGTCACTGAAGCTAAGTATAAATCATCTTTCCCACCATATACTTTCTAAGTCATGAAAAAAAGTTACTTTGAAAATGCTGAAGCAAACTGTTTGAACAATTTTAATTTTTTTTTTTTTTAGAACACAAATTTTAGAGGAAATTAAATATTTCCCAAAAAAATTGTTTGTTCTGACAACATTTCTTTTAAAAAAATAATATTTACAATGAAAAGTCCTAATTGATGCTAACATTCACTGTTCAAAATAACAAGAAAAGAGTATATTTTTGGGGTCTTATTTTTTCATGAATATATGGATATTCCTGGAGAGTACTTTTTTTCATTCTTGGGGGAAAAAAATGGTGCTGATACTGAAAAAAATGTGAAAGTGAGGTTTGTTTTGGTTTACACTAAATAACATTTTTCATAATGCTGAGAAGAAATCTCCAGAGAAGTATCCCTCTACTGTGAAAGCTGGAATACAAAGAATTGGGCAATTTGTTCTTCTGTCTCTAAGATAGGTTGTTTTTTTTTCTCCACATATGCCAAAATACTCTAAATCCTCCACAGGGGAAGAAACAGATGACATAGGGAAATACTCACTAATAACAACTGTTTACCAAGAGCCTCAAGAGTAAGAAATGTTAATATAAGAGTATTCAAAAGTCACATTATTGATTTACAAGTTTAAGGCAATTAAAGCCAGGATGTGTCCATTTTTCACATGTGCAAGAATAATGCCAATAATACCAGTCTTTATGTACATGGATTTTGTTGGCATTTGATCAGTGCTGCAGGGAATGAGTTATTCAAAACAGAGGAGCATATCAGTTTTGACAAAAGAATTAAGTTCTCTCCATTTACCCAGTTTCTGTGCTTGGTGGAAATTTAACTGTAAATGACAATTTTTAGCTTTCAGGAAAATATAGCAATAGGTTTGCTAGGGCAGTTTTCTATGTGGTATGTGTTAAAATGAAATAAAATGCAAGTTCAGTTTCCAATCAGTTTGCTTTTTCCTAAGTTGAAAGAAATCCATTTTTCTTTCCAAAAAGTTAGACTAGAGAGATAAATCCTCTTGTCTCCCCCCAGTAATCTTGAGGTAATCATGAAATTTCTCATTTTTCTGAGATATTAATGAGATATTAATCTTACCAATGGTAGAATTTACCAACATCAACCTAACTGGAAAAAAGGAAAGATTTTGCATGGGGTTATATTGGAAATTCCAAAAAGAAAAATATATTAGCTTTTCATATTTGATTTCAGCTCTACAGAGACAAGAAACCAATGATCTGCAATACCATTTACCTCTACTTACTGTGAAAACACATCCTGGGAAAGAGAGATTAGAAATTCTTTGAAATTAATTTTGTGAGTAGGTCAAAAACTACAGCAATAATTCAGAAAAACAGTGCAAAGTGCAAAGAAGAATAGCAGATATTCATTATGAAAAACAAACCGTACTTCAGGACAGACAACTTCTTTTTCATCTTCCATGGCTTGTTTCGTAGCGTGGCAATTAGTTTCTTTTTTTCTTCTACCTCTTCTTTCAGCTTGGCCAATTCCTCCTCTGTAATTGGCTCCTCCTCAGAGTCAGAATCAGAGCTTTGAACAAAAGCAGGAACAAAAAACATCATCAAAACTCAGAAAAACATACTTCATGTTAATTTTAGTTAACTTTGAGACTAGATAAACGCCTTCACACTTGCACAGAAGGGAGGACATACTTCACGTAGACTTGTAATTAATTTAGGTATGAAAGGCAAAGCTTGTACATGAAATGCAGAGCTACAGGTGAACCAGCACTACACCTTCAACATTCCATACAGAGTGGGCAGAGCTCTTGAGGAAGCATCTGGTGGCCACTGATTGTTCCTGCAAGTGTAACCAGCTTCCTAAGAGTCCAACCGAACTCACGGTGGTGAGGTGATGATGCTCTAGCTGCAGCCGTAAGATTTTAGGTGTTCTCATAGGGAAAGGAAATGAGGTAGAAGTATATGGAAATGAGATACAGACAAATTAATACAACAACATATCTCATTGTACTTTTTTCTTTCCTTTTACTCCCACTGTTCTCTCCAGTAATGTCTCTGGGAACAGAAAAAGCTGTAGTAAGTGCTGAATGCAGGATGGGATTTTCTTTCCCTCTCTGTTGAGAAGACCATGCCTAGCTCCATTTGCTGCATTATACACCATTCCTAGGGGTTGCTTCCTTTCAAAAGCACAAGGAGGGACAAGGAGTAAAGGAATCCTAGGATGGCAGAAAAATAGAAATGGTTTTTTGAAGTGCTCCATGTCAGTGGGCTCTTCCAAAGAACCCTGGTTGCATTAGATGCTTTGGAAAGTTGAACAGTGATATTTAAGAGGAAGTGAGTGAGAGACAGACTGGAAAATCCCATCTCAGTCCTTGGTTCTGGGTTTGTGAAATTTTGGCACCAATCTTTTATAAAAAATCTTGCTCGAACCTGGCTGGGAAAAAAAAACTTGAGAAGCATCAAGATTTTAGTTCTGTACTGGAAATAAAACTAGACCCTGGCTGTTTGTCAGGTTATCAACTTGGGGATCTTAGTTTTCTAGAAAGGAAAAAACAGGAGAGATATCACCTGTTATCACCTCTCTCTGTCATTTTCTTCTCTCCTCTATCATTTTCTCTCCCTTTCTCTAGAGAACAGCTCATAAACTTTGGATCTTTAACCACAATAAGGGTGACCCTGGCTTGAGTTCCCGTTCTGCCTGACCAGATTTGACCTAATCCACAGGGTATCAGCAGTCCCAGAAGGGTTTGGCTGGTCATTTCCTGAGGTCCCACTCTGGACTTGTGACAAAACCCTGACTTCACTCCACTGAATTAGATATGACTTTGTGGAAAGTTTCCACTTCACTCAGCCAGCGCTTCCTTATTGCAGGAAAAAAATATCTGTCTGGCTCTAATTCAGCTGTAGCACGTAAGGGAGTCCTACTGACTCTTGGTATTTCACAGCTGTAAATGAAAGCAAGTTTTATGCAGGTTTTATTGTAAGAAAAAAAAATTACTGAATTACCCAGATCCTGATTTCTTTTTGTCTTTTTTCTTCTTATTTGCTTTCTCTTTTTTCCCTTTCTTATCAGGCTTTTTGTCCACTTTCTTCTCATTTTTGTCTTTCCCACTCTTACCCCCTTTCCCATCTTCCTCTTCTTCATCATCTTCCTTGGATTTCTGGTTTGCCTGGTTCTTCCTGGCTTTTGCAGCTTCCATATCGGAATCACTGCCCTCATTTCCAACTACTCGTCCTCTTCTACGGTTTCTGTGCCTGTGATGCCCAGCTCTCCTTGTCCCATCTTCATCATCCTCATTCTCTTCATCACCATGCCTGGCTCTCCCCCTGGCGTGACCTCTTGCAGTTCTTGGAGTTGCTCTCTTCCTTCCTTTATCTGTGATCAATTTAAAAAAATAAAAACACATGAGGCAGTATGTTAGAAGGAGACCTTTCCTAGTCTTTCATTCATAGTGATAGTCAGAAAACATCTGAATCTGCCTCAAAATAATCCACATTACTGACCTGTTCCTTTGACATTTTCTTCATTCTCAGCTGCACTGCCTTCTTCATTGTCACCACTGCCATCTGTGGAGTGAAAACAAAGGCCAGTGCACATGAAGTGTGGATTGGTCATTAGGAATGCAGAGTTTTCAAGAAATTCTTGGCAATTACTGCTTTGTACTCCTTTACACCATTTCATGAACCATGTTTTGGAACATGGCAAATAGTTTTCAAGAAATAAGATTAAAACAGAAAAAATAGTTCCACTTTCCTTCAGCACTCAAATACATAAGCCTCAAAGTGATGCCATGAACTCTCTCTCATGGAAAAAATAAGTAGGACAGAAGAATTCTAAAAATATCCTACGATTTGAAGTAGAACAAGGGGGATGAAAATACTTCTCAGAGAATTCTCAAATATTTTCTTAAACATGAAAGAAAAAGGACTGGTTGAGATTAAAGAAGAGTAAAAGAATAATTTTCTGATTTGTCTGAGTGGAGGGCTTGAAGATTCATAGCTGCAACATAGCTGAAGAGGACAGTTCCAGAAGAAAAAGATTTACACTCAGTTCCAGCAACCAAATCTCTAAGCATAGTGACAAAACTTGACCTAGCTTACTTGTATGCTGTACCACAGTCCCACTCTACCACTCATGAGACAATAAAAATGTTGAAGGCTTTAGAGAGATAGTCTATTTCAGAAGAATGTAGTGTTTCTCCTTAGAAACATCTGTGGTTTGGAGTGGATCTCTTGCTTAATTTTTTCAGTGTCAATAAATTCAATAAGAGATGATGTCTCTGCTGCCCATCAATAAGCAGAAAATTATCCAAATTGAGATCATGCTTATGTAGAGAATAAATTAAAATACTCCTCTCATATGTATCATATCCACTATGATATCTAATTGATATGCTCTCTGAAAATATTGGTATGAACATGTTACTCAACAGGTCACTTCTGAAATTGCTATTAATATTCCTTAGCAATGTTTCTTCAGAAGCAACACCTGAGAAGTCAGGTGCTAATGGATTCTCTTGAGTTTCTACATGTGGGACAGCAGCTTAGACACATCAGTGGAATTTATAGAAGTAGATGGTATTAGGAAATTAATGAGAAGATTAAGAGAAGGAAATAGTAGAAATAGTAGAAATAAGTAGCAGTCATTTCACTCCTATACACTGTGCGTGTTCCATGTGGGTGTTGTCTAATTTCCCCTCTGTACAGAGAGGACAGATGACGTGTAATGATCCCTACAGTCACATTTTTCAGGCAAGAAGAAACTACAGATATCTTCCTTTTCTGTTCATCTATAATTGTTCTTTATACTCTTTCTTCAACCATTCCCCAGTTCCCCAGTTCCTTTCATAAATTTTACTAAGCCACTAGTGATTCATTGAAAATTTATATACAGTTGGATTTATTTAGGGACTACTATAGATAACCATGAAGCACAACATCTTGGCTTTACTTAATATCAAAGAAAAGCAGTAAAATACGTTAGGTTACAAAAAAGAAGGAATCTAGGGTCTTGCTTCACTTTGTGCAGTAACAGGTAAAGAGTTATTATCCAGAATTTGACTGGCATTTTACACCTGGAGTATATGTATTTCCTCCACAAAACATTCAATTGTGATTAACACTTTCTATCACTTCCCTAGCATCTGCAACATAATTTTTAAGATTATGTAAAAATATTATCATTCAGTATTATCAGTGTAATGTGTCAATAAGTGCTCCTTTGTTCTGCCTGGACACATGCCTTCTGCTGCTGACAGTAACAGGATCATCCTTTGATAAAGATCATTGTGTTGCTATTGAAAGCTTGCAAAGATGAAGACAGACATCTCTAAACAGATACTGCACATGCAACAGTAAGACACTATTTTTTATTGAAACTAATGTTTTTGCCGATCTCCTACAGCCAAACAGAATTTCCCAGAAAAGCACTTTAATGGTAAAATATTGGCCTCAGTGCAGAGTCTGATGAGCTTATACAACTAGCAAATACGTGGAGGTTTATCATATATACTGAAACGTGAGTTAGCAGTGAAGTGAAGTGAGTTGACATCATGTTAACATCACATTCAGGTAACAGTGAAAGTGACAAGGGACTACGAAACATAGAGACTTAAACAGGGTAGAAGATTGCTGCTGGAGTCTGTTTAACTCTAATAGCATAAGGAAAATAAATTTACTGCACTGAATCCAACATTTGAGATAAAATAAAGTCCTTAGGTAATTTACAGATTTCAGACTGCGTGAAGAAAGTATTGAGAACACTACCACAGAGGAGCATACCTGAATATTAATTTATGTGTGGTTTGGGGTTTTTTGCATCTAAATGATCAGGTACATGAGAGATAAAGACGAATTTTTAAAGAAATAAAGAAAACACATGAAATCAAACAGAAATAGATATAGCCACAAAATTAACCTAGAAAACACGGCCAGTGATTACATGGAATCATGCAGCTAGAAGAAAAGTGGGTGCTGTAAGCACACCCAGCAAGTACAGACGCAGTTTAAAATATTTTTTATGCAAAAATTTAAAATTGTATCTCCAAACTGAACTTCATAGAAAGATAAAATGTGTTGATATGAACGTTAGAGGTGTGCCCTTCTCCCTCTGGTGTATCTACAGAATAAGAGATCTCTTCCAGGTCTTTGGATATGACGCAGATGCAGAAAGCATTTTACTAGAACTTATTTTTAAAAGGAACTGGAAGCCAAGGACTCTCCAATCCTCCAGTATTCTAGCTCCCTACTTTATTCCATGAGCTGTGTCACCAACATAAAAGCTGAAGCTCACGATAAAACTAAAATTTATTCACTTGTGACAGCTCTTATAGCAGCTGGTGCTGTTCAGGAGGGAAAAAAATCTCTGAGTAGAGAGATAGAAGAGCTTTAACACCCCAAGATCTGTCCTTAACACTGTATAGGCATGACTGTATGTAAGCTACATTACCACCCCACACAGCAGCCACAATGCAGCCCCTGGAGACTTGTATTTTAGACAAGAGGCATTAATAACTGTCTTCCACTGTCTGTCTGTTTTGCACTTACCAATAAAAGACCTGTGTTGTTAGTTGGTTGGGTATTTGAGCAATAAGAGATAAAAAACATTACTGTGCTTATTATTATTATTTGAAAGCTACTACAGGTAACTCTGTAATACTTTTCAAAGAGGAAAGGGAGAGGCCAGGCACGCCATAACTCAGCAATTTAGGTGCTTGTGGAAAACCCTGTCTTACTGAATTACTGAAGAAGCATTTCAACAATACACAAATTACATTTCATGGTGATACTATATATAAGTACAGTGTAGCACTTAATTTAAATGTTCTGCTATAAACCACAACATAGAGAAACAGTAGAGTGCATTCCTCAGGCACTGTAATAGAATACAGAGCCAAAGAGCATTTTTGATGCTGTGGCCTGTTAAAGTTAAAACGTAGTATTTGATGCAGGAACAAAATCCTCACTATAGGGGAAGTTCATATACTGGTCTTGGGATTTTTTAAACAGATCTTCATGTGATCCTACTTATCAAAAGTTTGGTGAATCCTCCAACAAAATCAACAAGTCTCACAAAAGCACTGTCTAGAATTACTCATTTTTCCAGAAAAGGATTGATAAGACTTCTTATCTTCACGGTATTAATATTCATAGGGGTAATATCAGTTTATTAGCCTTTGACTCACCTAATGTGAGTTTATGTGGCCCAGAGCAAAAGCTCAACTGCTACATCTTCCAGGATACATCATCTTGTCCTAATGACAGTATATTTATATATCATTAAGTATATTTGAAGATATAGTCCATAACTCCTTTTGCTCTAGGAAATGCAATCATTCTTATTTTTTTTCCACAGTAGTTTAAGGGAAACTTTCTCATCTTTCTAGATTAAGGGCAGTGACAGTGTAATCTGAGTAAGATATCATTTTACCTGAAGTCTTATTTAGACTGTAGCCACAAATGAGCCAACAAGGCTAAAAGAGGGCATCCTGAATACGGGCTCAGTCTAACCTGCATGTCACAGACACAAGACAGAACATCAGACAGCTCAGGAGAGAGCTCCAAACATTAGCATGTTGGCTGCTGACAGAACTAAGCACAGAAAAAAAACTAGTAACACCACAGTCTTTGCTCTATGAGGTGTCTATTTAGCAGATTATGGGGGCTGTTTTATCCTTACCTTGTTTCCCAAGTTGTTTGTACACCTATCAGAGGCTACTACTTAGATTTCATGGTTTGGATCTTTGAAAAACTTATTCTATACTGACATAATTTTCTTGATTTTCACTGTGAGAGGTATAATGATTTTTGGAACTACCTCACACAATGTGACTCATTGTAATACCCCTACTCCCATTACTGCTATGTGAAACTGACTGCTGTTAATCAATTCTGCATTTTGGTGCTACAAAAATTCAGCACTACGTAAAGTAATCTGTATATCAAAAAATACTGTCAGACTTTTTGTATATGTAGTAAAATAAATTTCTATTTTATTAATTGTCAAGCCAAAGAAATAGGTGGTATACTAATAGAGCTGTGCAAGCAATTACTGTGTATTCCTCTGAACTGGACCATGCCGGGCATTTTTCAGTGCTGGAAAGACATCAGCCTAGATAGATAACAAACTGACTGTCCAACATGTAGAAATGTCAGCAACACAAGATTATATTAGAGAAAAAATGCTTGTGAAGTACTAGTCAAAAAGAGGAAAGAGTTGCACAATATTCAATTCTACGTATTTACATACATTTCTGTGTTTTTCTTTCTGATCATGTAAATATGAGAGTATCTCACAACACTTCAGGTCCAGTAAAAATCACTACAAGCAACGGCTGTGAAACATCAGAAATAATATACCAAGATCTCACAGAAATTCTGTTGCAAGAGTGAATTAGTGTAGACTTCAACATCCAAGATTTGAAACCTTAACACTAGAGATCCCATCCTCTTAGTCTGTTTCCAAACATTGGGAAAAACACCTTAGCCCACCTCAGGTCCAAATGAAGGGAACTTGAAATACTGAAATTTCAAATAAAAGTTACTTTTATAGAACAATCATTACACTCTGTATTTGAGACTGTGCTTGATTTTTCCTCTCTTTTTCCCACTTAGTGTTGCAATTTTTTCTGCCAGTGGACAAAAATAAAAATCACAAAACCCAAACAATTTGTTCTGTCCAGCAATAGCTGTGAATTTATAAAGTAAAATAATAATTCCTATTCAGTTACACACATAGAAGCTAATATCGTGCTTATCTTTCCCACCTGAATTGGCAAGATCATAAATAGTAAAGGAGGCAGAATATTTATACTACAATGTCATAAAGACACCAGGGTCTTGGAAGACTTTCTAGTCTTAATATATATGCTGTGTCCTGCAGACTTATACGCATAAAGAATTTCCAGAAGTTGGCTCAGGGGCAATAAGCTTTCCCTCTCTGCAGACTGCCAGTGAAGAGAGTTTGCCCAGCTAATTGTAGCCCAGTCAAAATTTCAAAATTACAGATGAGGACTACAGGGGCCAAATGGAATCCACTCAATTCACATCCATAAATAGCCCATTCGCTCTCCTTTAGTAAGGAAAAATTACTAACTGATGTTCTACTAAAATGACAGAGACTGAGCTCACATAGGTCATGTTGACACTATGGCTGGCATTGGATACATTATCTGATTACACTGCTCTCTTTCCAGTTTCCTTCTGGGTTGTACTTGAACATGCCAAGGTTTGAAACTGTCTCTCAGTTTGTGGGTCAGGACTTCTCCTAGACAAACTTTCTCTTCAGGCATGAATAGGTTTATTGCACAATTTCAGAGCAAAAATTTTGGGCCAAATCTGATTTTATTGTTATAAAACCTACAGAAGGTAGAGAAGGAAGATAATTCAGTGAGAAGCCCCTCATATTTCACCACCTTCAGGAAAACATGCATAAAAATTTCCAGACCTCTATATCTTACACCATCTCTGTGTGCACATCTGCATTTTCCCTACCTCTGCCCACAGAGATCTAACCATGTAGTCTTTTGCCTTAATCAAGACTAGAGAACTCACGAGCTTGCAGGACCCATTGGCTACTCTAATAAAACAACAAGGAGATACCACATATGCATTGTGTCTTCACATTGCATTGTGTGATGGTAGGCAATTTTTCATTTTAATTGCAGTATTTACTGCAAGAATTAGGATCAGAATATTAAGTGTTCAATGCACTCTGATAAGTCTGAGATGCAGTAAATCACATCAATCAGACATTTTCAGGTTCTAAAATGGGATTTACTTAGCTTATTGTCATTCATTCATAGTACTGTTAAAATGAGAACAAAACATGATAATACGAAGGAGTTTATGTTCAAGTTACATATGTAATGTTCTTAATGGGTTTGAAGTCAGTTGTATTTTTGACAATCTCATGAGAAGAAAGCTCTTTTAAGGTGCATAACTAGAGTTGACCAGCTCATCACATATTCTCTTTATAATATTTAGAGAGTAATAGGCACTTTCCAACTACTCCCTTTTAAACATACACTGAATATTTTTGCTTTTGTTTGTCTTTTCCTGCATGAGATGCCAGGAACAATGAATTCAGCATAATGAACCGTACATCTCCCACTATCATAGATTTTGCAGAAGACATACTGTGAAACAAGAAGAATGGCCAAACCAAGAATGGCTTCACTAAAGATATCAAAAAAACCCCAAAAATGTATGGTTCCAGAATGCATTTTTTGCATATGTTGCAAGAATATTCCTCAGGACTGTCAGCAATGATGAAACAAAACCTGTTGTAAAGAAATCACAATTAGATTAGCTCCTCAGCCCTGTGCTAGATAACTCCAGCCCTTGGAACTTTTTAAGCCAGAAGCGGATTGAGAACTACATTCTGAAAGTGTCTCATATTTACTTGTAAGGGAGCTCCAGCTTTGCAGGTGTTCTAAAATCAGAACACAGTCTTGAGTTAACTCACACAATCTTATCTCCAAATATTATCCATAACTGTAATTAAAATAATTAGATTTTATTATAAATTATATATGTAGCATAAATTTTCATCCAAAAAAAAAGGAAAAAGTGTCAAAGAGTGATCATGATTCTGCAACACAAAGATGTCCACCTTCTCCAGTTACAAAATGTGCAGTATTGGCTCACCATAGGAATGCTGTCCTCTGGAATTTGAATGAACAATAAAGTCACTGAATCAGAAGACACGTCAATTTAGTCAGATATTTGCAAGTACAAGGCAGATGTTTATGTTAAACTTAGAGCCTTGATATTCTTAGAATTTTCTTATTTTAAATGCTTATAAAAATGTACATGTTCTATCATCATGCTTATATGGTTTCTTACTCAGAAATTCTGTTGAAGCCATTAAGTAATTTCTTATGCTGCATTAAATTTTGTGCTTGTCTCATGTTGAAAAGAACTCCATTAGCATGAACTGCTTGAAAATTAAATTCATCAGTAAAGGGTCTTGTAGTAAAAAACTGAGGGGAAGAAAACTAACAGAGAAACTCAGACAACACAAAGGAAAAAAATAGGATGGACTTTTAAAGGGAACTATCTGTTATATGCTGCCAAAAATGCTAAGCAGTCCCTTCTGATGTTTTCTATGGAAGTAGAAAATATTTTATTACTACTGTGTGTTACAACTATGGATTAAAATGAATTCATTCCGAAACCAGTCTAGAATAAGGTCCCTGGCAATTTTCTTCCATGCTGAAGATAATAAATGTCACATTTGTTCCATATGAAAAAAAATCTGTATTTTAGAAAGAGTAGTATTGCCCATGAGAACTGAAAGCACTTCTCATAATAAAGAGTTGCCTTGTACATTGCCAGAATAAACCATTGGGCATTATTATCCTACAAAAACATTTCTTAGATCCAGAACAGGGTAGTATCAGTATAGAAATATTATTAATCTTACTGTGAAGGATGTTTGACATTTCATACCAAATATTAAAAGCAATAAGAAAAGCAAGTATTGCTTTTGTGTAGCTTACAGAAGCCACAAAATACATTTGTTTTTTTAGTCTTTCCTATAAATTACATACAAATGTAAGACAAGTAACAGGGCTGCAGTTGCACTCTTTTGATTTACTAATCAGTGAAAAGCCACCCTCCCATGCTACAACCAGCCAATTTCCACTATAAAACACATTTCTGAGCAAAAGACAGTGAATTACGACTAGCAAGATTTTATACTAAAAAGAAGGAGAAGAAAACACATCTTGCACACTGTTGAACTACATGCAGAAAATTAATATGTGCTTCAGTTGCATAATTATATTTGTAATTACCATTTCCTTCTGTCGACTTTTCATGCTTAGGCATCATGACTATTTCAGAGGGCTGCTGCGGGTGCTACCTATACAGGAGAGAATCTGAAGGTTGCGTGGTTCAAGACGAAGTGTACCACAACACCATCCTGTCTGTCACTGAACGGATGGTGCTGGTGAAGTTTCACTCACTGAAATATAAGAAGATACTAATTTCCTAAGTGATTAATCTTTCATGAATGTTTAGCTTACTATTTAGGGTTGGCAGGTTAGGATCAAAAGAATCAAATATGTTGTTCACCTTCTTTATTATTATTGCTGAAAATAACAAAAACTCTCCTGCAATGTACTTAATTATGACTAACACTATTATTGAAATGCTTAAGTGCCTTACTGAGCAAGGATGTTGCACAATGTCCACATGGGCACACTCTGATGCTATATACGGGTATCCACTTCCACATGTGGAGGAGGATACAGGGATTTTTTTTTTTCAAGGGAGTCAGCTTATACCTTTGACATATTTAAATTGCATGGCTTTAACAGAACAGCCTGACATTGTTTTAAAAAATCTTAGCAAAATGAGAAGGATGCTGATATATCTACTGGTTTGTGTTTGCATTTCCTTGCAGTTCTATTAAGACTCTGCCTTTATCCAGATATTACATCCTAAGTTTATCAGTTTTACCCTGATTGACTTTTTATCTAAGTTAATGGTGAAAGAAAGCAAAAATGTAGTTAGCAAGACAGGTGAGGCTTGGAAGTAAAAGATATGAAAGAATATATTACAAATAATACAATATGTTACAGATAAAACAGCATAAAATATAATTCTTAATCTGTATTTAACTAGGTTATTCCATAATAACTTCCCCATATTCCTCATCTGAAATTCTTTCAGTGTGACTGAGCTGAAAAAAAGTGTAAGCATCTGCAGAATACTCTACATTCTCAGATGTTCCTGTTTGAACATCTGGTTTCTGGATCCTCTTACCCACACAGCTATGAATGCAATTTTTTTTTTCTTCGGAGCTTTCCTTCAGATGTCTGAAGGAAGTTTATCTGAATGTTAATCCAGTGATGCTGGCTACCTTACCTTTAATTTTCAAGTTTGGGCTTTTGGGTTGGGGCTTGTTTTGTTTTGTTTTGTTTTTGTTGAAATGCATTCCTATTTCTGTTAGAACACTAACATTCTATGTTTGAAATACTACCAAAGAAATTAAGCTCACATATACAATTATAATTGTATATCTCCAGCAAATGTTTTCTGAACTATTATTTCCTTTATTGCATTTTCATATTAGTCATTACAAAACATCTAGATCCTGTGCTTTCAGATACTTGGGAAAGACTTCTAATTCAAACAAAGAAATGTAAGAAAACATTCAAACCATCTCTGAATATCCATAGTTGGACTATGTTTCAAGTTTCAGAAAAATAATAGTCAGGTTCTAAAAATTCAGTTGGTAGACTTCTGTACTTTAATAACAGAAAAAAGAATCATCTTGGGAAGAATGGTGAGCATGGAATTCAAGTTAATGGTTCTGCAAGCATTTGCAAAAAGAAACAGTCAAAGAATTCTTAAAAGGTGTTTTGCAGTTGCAGTCAAATCAGGACCATAGAATTTATGAAACTGTATGAGCCTTCATCAGAATTTAAAGTTAATAATACCTCACATTTATTAGCCACATTGGAAAATATTTTACCAGATATATGAAGAGGAAAGGGACATATATGGATGGTTGATTAATTAATCTTTCCTGAAAAAAATGATAAAAAATAAAGATGAAAATCAAGGATGCAAAGGAAATATTTAAAAAGACACCTAAGTAAAAGAATTAAGATCATATATGCAGTCTGAATGTGGTCTCTGGGTGAATATTTGTTATGATTTATGTGAATTGCACACTCCATTTTATTTGTTTCTCAAGGTGTCCTGACTCAGTCAGTGATCAGATTTACCTAAATATTTTTATCACAGTACAACTTCATAGTGTAGACAAGCCAGATCCAGTCTGGTTTGTGGTTTATATTTGTGGCTATAGGAGTTAAGTGTTTCTTTGAGTTCCATTACTTGCTGCCCTCAACAGTGTGCCACTAAAAACATCCATGGATCTGCCCTGCAGACCGGGTCACTAATCAAAGCAAATTATCAGTTTCTTAAGTCAGCTTAGTGCAGTGATCCCATCCACAGCACGGTCCACAAACAATTGTATTAACACAGAAGTGGCAATCAAATTGTGACATGATGTGGGAAAGGGTCAGGATCAGGAGACAGAAAGAGGTTGCAAACCTTCAAAGACAGACTTGCCACGGGATATAACATAGCAAGGAGATACGTGCTATATTTCTCTTTAAACTTGGAGTTCAATTAGTAATCCGAGATTAAGAACAAACTGTATGGTTTTCATTTACACAGGGTTCTCTTTACACCACACCAGACTTAAAAGACAAAAAAAACCCCAAACAAACTACCAAACAAATTTTAAAAAAACCTCTTAACCTTATTTAGCTCTATTTAATAGTAATAAAATCAGAATAATACAGAATGCTATTAATAAATAAACATTATTAGAATGGCCCCAGTGCAGACAGGTTTAGTGAACTGGCCTCATTCCTAACTGGATTTGTTGAATACTGCAAAAGTTTCCATTGTTGGAAAATACATGCCATTTTTCTTCCTTTGTTCAAATCTCTATCTTCTTATCAGAAACACTTACTATATATTCCAAGAGCTGAAGCATGCATGGTATGCAAAAGTTGAGGATGAAAATATACAATTATCTCTTTATCACAGCTGAAAACCCATAATGAAGGAGAAATGGAAAGTATTGGTCCACACGCCCTTCCACATCCTGCTAAAGTGACAAACTATTTCATAGCCATCTGCCAAACGGATAAGTCCATCCAGGAAAAATAATGATGACACCAAATACTGTTGCCATAGCTATATTTGGTACAAACATTAGTGCCTCGGTAAATCTGCTAGCATCAATTTTGCTTGTAGTCAGCTTTTAATTTACAGTGCCATAACCTATGCACAAAGAACGAACCACTATAATTTCTTTCCTCATACTTTTGCACATCAGCTGTTAATGCTTTCTACAATAACAAAATGCACTGAATGTTGATTTTTCCATGTTTCAAGGTGATTTTTTCCTTGGTTTCTAAAGTTACTGCAAAACTTAGGGCAAGAAATTGTTTTCTGACTTTATTGCTAAAGGTGACTCTTTTAAGGATGAGATTTTAAAATGCCATTTTGTTTAGAGGTACACAAAATTATATTCTGCCCTGTTGAAGGACATGAGAAAATTAGGCAGTTCTGGAAGTAGATATGTAAACAAGCTGTAGTCATGGCACTGTAGTCATACTAGCTAAAATGCCTTTTTCATTCTAATGTAATATGTAATGTTGATCTTTCACAAAACTACTGCATTCAAATGAGTCAGAAGAGTCTGAATAGCATTAACTGGTAAGTCTATGCCTACTACCCTCATTATCCCACATCTTTTCACAGTCAAATGGATGATTTTGCTGATTAGATCTGGGAGGAGCAGGAGGCTGCCCAAGGAAGGGCCTGAGGTGGGATAGGGATCAAAACCTCCCTTAGGGGCACCAGCCTGCAGCAGTGCTAGCAGAGCAGGGTGGTAACACTGGCACTGGGGGGACTCTGGTGAGGGTGGAAAGGCACAATCAGATGACAGATCAGATTGATTGATTTCATGCCAGAAACTTTCAAAACCTGGCTCGCATTCTTTTCAAATGTTAACTCCCAAGTCAACAAGTTCAGCTCTTGAACATTGATTAGGGAATGTCATGTAACAGAAAGACAAGTAATATTGTTCTCATGCTGCACTGGTCTTCACAGAGAAAATAGTTACAGCTTAAATCTACTCATAGAAAAAATTTTATTTGTGCAGAGATCTCTGAAGCCCTCATGAAAAGGAAGTCTAACAAATAAGTAAAAAAAATACATGACATTCTGAAAATACCGCTTACTAAGCCATTTGTAACTTTTCTGATGTTTCTGAAATACTGTATTTCAAGTTTTTCTGAAAAACTGGAAATTTAGCTAGAAGTACAGCAAGACGTAATTTTCATTATATCTGAGGTTCTTTAGATTCTCCTGGTAGACACAAGCACTGGGTTCAGAGAAAAAACATCAGAAATCACATGAAGAAGCCAATTTAAAAAAATTCTCTGGTCAATTAATCTGAATCACAAGAAATTAGGGCAATATATATGATTTAGAGGAATTTATCCAAATTGATCTTGGTCACTGAACCTATCCTGCTATATATTAGTAATCAGAATGCCTTATTAGAAGTTCAAAACCAACTTTAAAATCCTAAACATTCACTAAAATTGTGTAAAATTATCTGTTTTTATTAGGAAGGGAAAATATTTAGCAGAATTTCTACAAATCCATATGCTCTGTTCTTCGGATCCCTTCTGAAAATTTGTAGCTGGGAGCATTTGTGAAGTTCCTGTGAAGATATGACTATATATATTTCCTCTAGTAATAATGCTACTTAGAAATAGATAATTCTACTTAGAATCAAATTCTTGTCTTTATCCTAGCGAAAAGGAAGGGTTGAATGAAGTGTCATTAATAGAACTGCTTTCTTTATTAAGATCCGATATCACACTCTGCTGGCTACGTCTGACTGCTCACAGCATCTACTATGCTGACGAACGGGCACACTGCTCAGATAATTGCATTTACTACTTAGTTGTGGCTGCATCTAGTGGAGGGACTCCAGATTTACTTCCATTACTGGGAAAATACTAGAATGCTTCAACCCTGGACACACAAGCTGAGGCTTAAAATACATGCTTGAAACCATAAAATCCCATTCTCATTAAAAACAAAGCTATAAAATTAAGTACCCTTGAAAGCATTATTTGTAACTTCAAAAATCCTTTGAAAAAATGTCATAAACTTACTATGGAGTGACACACAAATCCTTTTTGGCTGTTGTTTCTAACAGTAAATGGATGCTGGCATGCACAAATTGGTCCTCTCAACAACGCAAACTAGAGAAGAAAACAAGA